GGAAGTTGGACCCAACCTTAAATTGGAAAGTTGAAATAGTGCAAAAGTTTAAAGCCATTATATAACTTATTTAAAGATATGGAATAATTTTTGTAAGATAAATAATATTGTTAGGCACTTTCAGGCTCAATATGACATTTCAATATGTGTTTAACTATGTTAACATTGTTAAGCATTTCTTATTTGTTTATTATTAATTCTTGTCTATTGTTGGTGTATTTCATTGGGCAATAGCTCATTAGCAGTGGTTGTACTGCAGGTAAGGGAAAGGAGCCCATAGGGCACTAGGCGAGAAAGAGGTGATCATCTGTTTTTGATGTAAATATGTTTTGGAGTACAAGGAGATCTTAGAGGAGATCTGAATAATAGCTATATAAACCTTTTGATATGTAAGTAAAGTTCAAAAGTTTTAATAGAGCTCTATAATTGTTTTAATTATGTTGATGTTCAGTAAGTAATATTACATGCTTCATGTTGTTAAGAGTGGAGTTTGATATGTTGAAATACTTCTCTGTTATACTTCAGTTTGTGGTAGAGGGTGAGCCAAACTGGGGTGTGACAGGCCATGCACTAGCATGAGACTAAGAGGAACTTGGAAGTCTTGGCTTCTTTGTGGAGAGTCACTCAATAGAGAAGCAAAATCAAAATACAAAAAATAGTAATGTGGGAAAGAGAAGGCCGGTCACTCTAAAGGGGAGAACTTGGGATTGGTGAAGTGGAGGTAAGGTGAATTGATGGAGAAGTGGAGAATAATCTTAGAGAAAGATAAATCTGAAATTAAATTTTAGATTTTTGAATTAGAGAGGAAAGGAAAATTAATAAGAATTCAAATCCCCAAAATTAGAGCTAGAGGCTGGCGGTTATGGGAGGGGATTAAGGGAGCATTAATTGGGATATGAATGGCATTGGAGAGAGAAATTATGAGAGAGAGAGAGAGAGGGGTCGGCCATGTAGAGAGGGGAGAGAGGGGTTTTGTGTTTAATATGTGGGCCCCAAGGAAGTTAATGTAATTTTAATCAAAACTGAATTTAATCTCAGATTTGATTCAAATAATAAGAAACTTCCAAATGGGACTTAACTTTCTTAGGAAGGAGTTTTGAAATTCAAAATAAATTGATTGCCAACATGGATTCTTTCCTAAATCACATAGAGATAATTTAGGAAAGTATTTATGACAGAATTTTTTGAATTTCAATATTTAAATTTGGGGGACTATGGAGGATGGGCCGGTGGGTGGAACAAATAGAGGAGGAGAGGGGAGGGCCGGCCGGTGGCTGGACTGGTGGTCGGCAGTTTGGGCAGCTAAGAAGGCCGGTAGGCAGGAGATGGGGGGCTTAGTTTTGTGAGGAGGGGAAGCGGGCGAGGTGTAGGAGACCGGCGGGTAGGTGGCTAGGAGATGAGGCGGGAAGAGAGGGGAAAGAAGAAAAAGAAAAGAAGATCGGAGCCGTGAACCTTGGAATCCTCCGAAGGTTGACGAGTACTGCTTTCACCCACTAAGGGTCTCTCCTAGCATGAACTCATTTAAAGATTAAACAATAGAAAATATAATTTATTCACTAATCATCATCTGATACAATAGAGGAGGCCACAATATATAGGTCCAAAAAAACAAAAATACAATGGCGCAAATGCTGTGGGACTACAACTCAAGACAACTCAAAAGAAATGGTAAAATCGTAAATAGCAATTAATACATAAATATCAAAATAAAACTAAGCATCAAAATAAAGGTTGTGGATCGTAGCCATCGATCTGCGCCTCCTGGGCTGATATACTTGTCGAAAACGACTGTGGATGTCCTCATCACCCTGTAAATGCCAAAGAAGTTCATGGAAACAACAAAGGCCACAAGCATATAATTTTTGATTTTTTGCATGAAGAACAACCAGCGCTGCTGATGTATGCAAGGGGGGGGTCAACACAAGCATTGGCTGTTTTCGGTTTGAGCTTATGTAGTTGAAACTCTAGTGGTGCCAGCTCATTAATATCTAGTGGAGGAGTAGCTCATTATGAGCTGATGTTTAGCTCTAAATTCATATTGAGGTGTAAGATATTAGGTGAGTGGAACTTGTCTCTTCCTCTTCCTTTGCCTCTTGAGCTGCTGCATTATTTTTCCCTCTTTAGGCTGTTGGAACCGTGGCCTTCATGGTGCTTTAATGGTGGCTGTTAGTTTCTTGTGCTTGGCTGTTGGAACCGAAATTCCCTCCTTGGATTTGCTGTGCCGTTTGGGGTTTGCTGTGCTGAAACCGTGGGGCATTAATTCCCTGTTGCTGTGCTGAAACCGTGGCCTTTCCTCCTTGGATTTGCTGTGACGTTTGGGGTTTGCTGTGCTGGAAACCATGGCCTTAATTCCTGTGGTGCTGTTTGGTTTCTCCATGCTGAAACCGTGACTTTTTCTGCTTTGCTGTTTGGAATTCCTGTGCAGGAAATTTAAGGCTTTTATATGAGAATATGAACAGATTTTTTGGACAGAAATTGAACAGTTTTTGGGCTGTTTTTGAGTTTAGGGTGTCATTTTGTTGGTGTCAAAGTTTGTAAGCGTCCAAATTGTAAGTGTCATTTGAGTCAAAAGATTGTAAGTCGTTTTATTATATAAAGTTGTGTTTTATAGTATTTGTGTTCTTTTAAGCATTTTATGTCTTTATTTTGTTCTTAGAAAGAGATAGTGTTTTTTGTGATCAAAAATTTGGGGCCCTCTCCCAAATTTTTGATTGCATCAGCTGCCAAATTGAGAACAAGATAATAGGAGGGAGCAGCAAAAATAATAACAGTAAATATTGAATGATATTGATCCAAAAATAAACTGGAGTTCAGAACAATCTAACCAGGGCACGTGATATAAGAAACGTCATTACAACAGGAAGATCTTTAGTTCTCAAAACATCTGCAGCTGAATGCAGTGCCAAAGCTATGCCTTGTCTCCCAAGCCAGCAAAGATCAGCAACCTCAAATCCTGTGCTAAGATCCCGTATATATATAGAAAAAAGAGTTGAAAGCGCATCCTGAATATACAGTCAACAGTTAAAAATAAATTAAGTAAAATTAATCCCCCTTTGTTTAGACAAACTATAAGAAGACATACTTGAATTGTTTCAGGATTTTCATCCAAAGCTGCAGCTAGCGCCTCAGCTGCAGCCACACGCACATTGTAGTTAACATGGGATAGAGCATCAAAAAGACCAGAATAGTCAGTGCCAAATTCACATCCATAGCAATCCCATACTTTCTCTGCAGCTTCAGCAACCGCCTGAGGAAAAACAGACCAGCTTATATAAAAATAGAACAAAGAATAACACAAAAGAAAACTACAAAAACAAGAAAAGAATAAACGAAATTATATTCGCGCGTTTCTTAGTTTATGGGTTAACACCCTAACCCAATCATTTTTAGATCGTCTTTAATTTTCTATTATTTTGAATTCATTTCATAAATTTGATATGTTTTATAACAGTTTACTAGTCTAACATCTACCTTCAACTTTTCTCATTCTAGCTCCGTTGAGGTTGTTACCCAACATTTGAATAATAATTAAGGATCATCACCGAAGGACAACATCAGATATGCAAATACAACATTTTTAAATCCATTAAAATTTGATATATCAGTTTTAGTAAAGAACAAAGAAAGTGGACGCTAACCATTGAAATCACACAAATAATCAAAACGGGAAAATGATAAAGTAAAGGTTTATCTGATGTGACAATCAGCTTAGGCAGCCAATATTTCATAAAAACTGCAATTGACTCCAATATTTCACCTTCTCTGGATCATGTAATGCAATCCAAATTCTTGTAGCAGTTTGAAGATTCTGAGGCATAGAATGTCCAGAAATTGAAGGAATACAATTTAATGCATTCAAGCAGGAAAGCCTGACATGAACATCTTTTGCATAAATTCCATACATAGCCTGCACACGACATTAGGTTCTGGGTGAAGAATTTCAATTAATCAAAATAAGCATACTAAGAAAGTACAAAAAACTCACAGTTGCTATTTCATCAGGCTTTAAGCCTAAACATATCTCATTTAACAAGGGCCCTATTGATACTTTATAAGAAGGAACAATACCAAGAACGTGATAAAGGACCTGCAAAACAAGTTGTTAATAAGGTAAATAGCTTCCAATTGTTTTTGGATTGTTACATCAAATAATCTTAAGAGGCAAATCAGCTCAAAGTCTATACTTGTAGCATCCGTGTTCTGGGAAGAGGCAATATAGGATCTACATGCATAGAGATTATATGAAGCACATCATCATGTAGAGCAGTTTTCCTTGATGAAAGTAAAATCTGCTCCAGGATCTGTAAGACATCAAGGAGAGTCACTGAAAATGCAAAAAGGACATTTGACACCATTCAGACATTTAGCAGACATTAATAAACAGAAACCGTTAGAGGGAACCATACTGGAAACACAAAGGTAAATGAATCTGCAGGGAGTGGCCCAGACTTGCAGGACACCACTAGTCCAGAAACTATCCTCTCAAAAAGACCAACAGATGGCCATTTATTTATATCCTCCCCTTCACTGATTGGGGCAATAAGGTCTGAGACTGTGCGCGCATCTTCAGATGAAATTATGTTTAGAGCAGCAGTAATCTCACTTGCCCAGTCATTAAGAGGAGGGGCTAAACACCTAGCAAGCTTGAGCATGGCATCAAATGCAGCAGCATTTACAATCCGTGAATGAAGTAAAGGTTCAACATATTTTACCTGTTAATAAGATTACAAATATATATATATACGCTTAGCTATCGAAGCAAATTAATATATATATATATATATATATATATATATATATAGATAGATAGATAGATAGATAGATATATCAGCATGAAATGATTGCATTACAGAACTGTGAAAATGAGGATTCAAAAACATACAACAAGGTCGAAAATGACTGATCAGAGGACAGAAAAATTTAATATAAAAGAGCTAAAAACCCGAACAAATATTGAAAACAAAACAGCCTAAAATAAGTTCCTTAGCATTAATATCAATAAAGTGGTGTGACTATAGATTGTTGAATATCATTTTACCACCGTTCAGAATATCTGTAAGCATCCCCTAGATCAGAGGGACAAGCTTTACAAGGAAACACGGAGATGTCTTGGTGTTCCGGTACATTTCTCAAATCAGGCCAATGCAGTTAATACATTGACAAGTTTCACGGGTCAAAAAAGTATTGCCAATGTATAAAATGTATTGGGATTTACACTTTAAAATTGACAACATCAAAATCACATATTATAATAATCTTTTTGATGAAAGGGGTCATTTTGTAATTTTGAGATTCATACAAATCCTTTTATGTAATATATAAGAAACTCCAAGAACATTTTCTTTCAAAATTCAAAGTTTAGTTTGGGCTAATTTAATTTGATTAACAAGTATTAGATTTGCAAAGGATTCCCATGTAATTTAGGATCAGCTCTAATACAAATTCAATGATTATTTTAACTTTAGAGCATAAGGCTCATTATAATATCAATTTATTTGAATGTTTTTTCTCTTTTTTGTATACTTGGTCCAAAGACAAAATATTCTGTGTACTTGGTCAAAACATTAAATATGACGCACTTTCCACTTTAAACTTGTTGATCCAACGTTGGCCAAATAATTGAGTTGATAGGTACCATTCTGTCTTCAAGCTAAATAAGGCATTGAGAGGTGAGATAAAAAACAATTAGCATTTCCCATAACTTTAGCAGATTTTATCGTGCTAAAGGTTACGATGTCTGATCTGACAGATGACAGTATAGCACAAGACAACTTAAACTGTAGGAAGAGCTATGAAACCCACCCAAGCAGCTGCATAGCAGGATACAGAATGACTTATGCCATTAAGATTCAAGAGAGAGAGGGCTTTTGCAAGGTCGCACCTACTATTGTGGACATTATTAGTGGTGTACACCAGCGAAAGTATACTAGGGTTACAAAGTAAGTTGAAATAAAGCGCAAGCAAGCGATAGACATGAGTGTGAAGAGGTGGTATAAGGACAAAACAAGTTCAAGTTAGCGAGAAAGATCAAAATAGCTGGAAAGAACAGTGTTCGCAAGTTAGACAAATGACATTATAACAAAGAGCGGGAGAGATGTCCAAGGAGACAAGAAAGTTGGGGTTGCAAATGAGAGACATGCAAAGAAAAAATGTTGCAGATGCGGAGAAAATATGAGCGTGGAGCGCATCACATGCAATAGAATCAAGAACAAAGAGAAAGCGAGCATGATTACTGGTGAGGTGCATTCGAGGGTCACGAGGAAGAAGAGTTGTATTGAAGCGGCGATGGAATAAAGAGTTGCAAAAGATGAAAGTTGTAGTATCGGACATAAGAGAGGGACAGCAAGCGCATGTGTATAAGAGAGGGACAGCAAGCGCATGTGTGGCAGATGCAAAGCATGCATGGGATGGAGCATGTATTAGGAGCATAATCAAGTGAGAGATAGGGATCAGCTAAGAGAAAAGAATGAGTTGAACAAAGGAGATTATGTAGATGCAGGTGCAGGATTGTTGAAGGTAGCACCAGGGTGTGAGATGGGATTAACGGAGATAGAGAGAATGCAAGCAAAAAGGCGGAGAATGTGAAGAGCGAAAGAGTAGGCAAAAGCAGGCATACGTGGGGGCAGAGCACATGGACAAAGGAATGAGTGTGCCGGTGAGATGTGCAGGATGTGCAAGAAGTGAGTATTTCACAATTTTTTTATTTTTAAGAAATACTTAAATAGAGTAACCAAATAAATACAAAAGTCGATAAAAATCCTACTCGAACCAAAACAAAACTTAGATGAGTTTTGGATCAACTTGTCCAAATCAAACATTAACTTGATGATAATCTATCAATTCAATCTACATAATCCAAACTATCATGCCTACAACTGCTCTCCAGCAAAATGAAATTAAATCAGAGATCAAGATAAATTATTTCCAAAGATACATTTTGGTTTTATTGCAAAATCATTTTCTTTATGATTACTCACTCAAAGAATAAAGTAACTATCTAAAGGCCGGTTTTGTTCCATAAATCACATCAACAGTTTGCAAACTTCACAAAAATAAACACATAAACCATGAATGCTCCATTTGCAATCTCTATTAACATCCTCAAACTAACCTTGTACAAGCTTATTGATAAACGCTTCAAAACAACTATGAAGAAATTTGAATCAAAATTCAATAGTATTAAGGCAAGAAAATATCTAAATATCAGGGTGTGAAATATGCAAGTTTAAAGGCAAACAAAGAGAATCCTTTATATTCGCAAGAAAATATCATGAAATATTTCAATAATGGAATGAAACAAATTAGCATGGCTCAAATAATTCAAAGATACTCACAAGTGTGGGTAGTTGAGCATGTGCGAAAACTGGATTAGCAAAGGCCAGTTCACCAAGAGCTTTAAGCATCATAGAAAGATTAATCTGAATGCATCTAACTTTCTCCCGAATAGAGGCCTCCTCCATAAGCAGCAATTCCCTAGCTTCCTCCTTAGCTGTTTTTGGCTTATCTACACCAATGCAACGAAAACATTCGTGAAAGATATCAAGGCATCAAACTTAAGACCAGAATTTAGACTATAAAATTGATAAACAAAACACACCACTTTTCTTGGAAGCCTTCAGTATATCTTTCTTCCCTGAGTTCAAAGTATCTTTTCGGCTAGGTTCTTTTCGAACAGGATTGCTAGATTTGACATTATCCTTCAAAGATTGCAGAGAAAATTAAAAATCTACAGCTTTTTCCACGTGTTTAAAACAGAAAATGAAAGGCATCAGATCATACAAAGTCATCCAGGTCTTCATACAGACGATAACGGCCTTTTGCAAGTTTCGTGTTCTTAGCCACAATTGTCTCCGCAACATAAACACCTTGCTCGCTTGATAACATACCTTCCGGAGTATAAAAGATCTAGGTAACACTAGTTGATAAGTGAATAGAGCTTTACTAAGCAAGAAGCATAAAAAAATAGAAAACACACACACACACACAAAACAGGAAGTTGAGATCATTTATAATTCAACGCTACAGAAACAAACAACCTCAAACAATCATCAGCAGTGACCCCTCCAAATTCATTTATTTCAAAACATAACTGAACAACCCCTTCATTACAATTATATGCTGCAACGAATAAATTTAAGTACACTTAATTTTTTTATAGATGTAAATGCATCATCCATAATGAAGAAAATAAACTAAATATACAAGAATGAACGACAAATAAAAGATTTGATACATATCAGTATTTCTTCTGCACTTTAGTCTGTTAATTTTGATCCTGATCACTGCTTTAAAACCTAACATAAATGTTGATTTGCTTACAAGAACAATAATAAAGATGGAGATAGGATGGCCATTTTAATTAACAAAAAATTACTTAATAGTCCCTTTTCTCTTTATTTTTTATTAGGGACAGTTTAGTAATTAGTATATTTTAGTCCATGAGCTCTTCCCTATGAATACCTAAGTCTTATGTGGGGGAGGGGGAGTTAGTTCATTTCTTTTTCTGATTTCAAAATCTGAGATCAGGGAAGGGTCTCTTTTACTTAGGATGGATTTGCCCTAAACTTAAGAGAAGAGGGGTGAGGGTTTTTATTGTAGTCTGGGACTTCATCAACATCATTCTCCCGCCTTTTATTTGCTTTCCTGCACCATTCTCATTCATCATTCCACAAGAAGTCTCTCCATTTCCACCCTTGGGGACATCAAACCAGCCACAACCTGGGCTGTTTTCAGCAGACTAAACTATCAAGAACCTGCTGCCAGTCTTTCCCAAGCTGCCAATCATTATATCAATGCAAGAACCAAGATTCTTGCTACCTCCTAACAATCTCCTTGCATTCAGTTCCTGAGCCGCTGGCCTTAGGATTGAGCACACAGCCACTGATTTAAGGGCTGAACAGAAATACAGCTCACTGTCTTTGCAAGAAGAAAGTCCAGAAGATAAGAGAAACCTCCAACTACCCTTGGATCATCCTAACAGGTTTTGTATTCTTCTATTCTGTTAATTCGTTGAAATCTTTTAAAAGAACAAAAGCTGTCCTTGTTTTTGTTTCTCATCTTGAAAATTTTTGCAGTTGTTTTTTTTTTTTAACAAGAAAAATAACTGGCCACAACTGGAATACCTTTTTTACTTCTCTTCAGGTGACGACCAAGTTCCTAAGAGTTGCTACACTGCCATTACCAAGGATTAATGATCATACCAATGCTTGGAAGAAGATAACATGATCAGCCAACAAAGTTGATTAAGAGAAGTTGTAAAATTCTGCATCTAACAATTTGTAAGTGACTGAAGAGTCTTTCAGTAACTTTTTTTTTTTATTCACTCATTTTTGCTGAAGATTTTAGGCATTTGGGTGTAAGGAAGTTTGCGGGTCTTGTCAATTAGGAATTGGGGGTTTATTGTCTTATTTCATTGTTGGTGAGCTTTTTTTTTTTTCATCGTTCTAGATATAAAACTTTCTTAGTTGTTTATTTTACTCCACTATTTCTTGTCTCTTCATTTCTAAACCGTGAGAAAATTTTGGTATTAGAGCCCTAGGTTAAAATGCCTCCTAGGAGAAACCAACCTCGGCAAAACCAAGAACTCCAAACTATGGAAGAATTGCATTGTGAAATAAACAAACTCCAAACTAGGTTGGCAACCTATGAACGACATGATAGAGAAAAAAGTCCATTTCATTTCATTTTGATGACCACCACGACGAACATGAAATGAAAAATCCTTTCCATCAAGCATTTCAACAATCATCCCATAAAAATAAGGCAAACCGTAGAGAGAACCCATAAAAAAGTACCAAAATTTTGGGGATAAGATTAATATTCCGGATTTTGAAGGTGAGTTAAATCCTGATGATTTCATAGATTTTGTATAAATGGTGGAGCATGTCTTTTGATTACAAAGAAGTCCCATCTGATAGACAAGTAAAACTGGTAGTCATTAAATTAATAAAAAAAGTATCTATTTGGTGGGAAAACCTTAAGAGAACAAAGTTAAGAGGGCAAAAATAAAATTAACATATCAGAGAAAATGAAAAAAGAATTGCGAAGAAGATACTAAACATCCCGCCGTAAAAAAGATGCCTTTCTTAAATTACATGGGTTTCGACAACGACATTTTTTCATAGAATAATATATTTCTGAATTTGAACAATTGATGCTCAAATCTGATATTGTCGAACCTGAAGAGCATATTGTCGCCCAATTTTTAGGTGGCCTAGTCCTTCCATTTCCAATATCATACAATTACAACAATATTAGAGGTTATTTGATGTCACCAAATTAGCTATAGACAATTTTCCTCTAGCATAGGACAAGCTTTTCGAAGAGCTAGTTAGAAACCCCCGTGATGAAACGCATTGAAACCCTCAAAAAATGTTTTCCCAAATAAAATCCAAACATCCGAAAATAACAAGGCCAATAACTCCACTAACAACAATCCATTTGATGTGCCACCTGAAGAAGAAAATGAAATTGAAAAAAATTTGGAATATGAGAAACAATTGATTTATGCTAATGATGAACTCCTGATAGTGTGTAGAGTTTAAAATACCACTATGGAGTTAGATGTTGATTGGTTGAAACACAATATTTTCACACTAGATGCACTATTTAAGATAAAGTATACAATATGATTATTGATGGAGGTAGTTTTGAAAACGTTGTGTCCAGTCAAATGGTGAAAAAATTAAATTTACCTCTGCAAGAGAATCCAACACCCTATAAGTCAACTTGGCTTAAAAAAGGCAATGAAATTAAGGTTTCAAAAAAAATGTTTAGTCTAATTTTCTATAGGAAAGAAGCCATAAGAACAAGTGTTCTATGATATCATTCTTATGAATGTCTGCCATAAGTTATTAGGTTGACAATGGCAATATGATAGGCATACTATTCATGATGGCCATAAAAACACATCTAACATTGATTATAAAGAGAAAAAGATAGTTCTCACGTCAATGAAAGACAAGGTGTAGAAAAATCAAGCCCACACAATATAGTCTAAGTCTATGTTTCTCAAGGCTATGAAGGAAGTTTCCTCGATTTATGCTCTCATACTTAATGAGGGTAACAAACAAGAAAAGCCTATCCCATAATTATTTCGGCTTTTATTACAACACAAATGGAAACAAAAATCAAGTGTGCAAAATAGAATCGCTAATATCTTTAGTCGAAGATATCCTATTTTTAGTGTTCTCCAATAAAAAGTAGTTGGACTTGAGATGATCAAAAGAACCTAATACCAACAAAGAGGAATTTTGCATGATGTGGTTATCCTATCAAAATATTCAACATTGCAATACTTTGACCTTTCTAGGAATAAGAATATGTTCAAGACAAGAGGATGAGTCTCCTTCAACCCGAGGAGAATGATGAAGATAGAGATAGTAGAACAATTTCTATTAACAAAAAATTTACTTAATTACCCCTTTTCTCTTATTTTTTATTAGGGGTAGTTTAGTAATTAGAATATTTTAGTCCTTAAGCTCTTTCCTATAAATACCTAAGTCTTATGTGGGGGACGAGGAGTTAGTTCATTTATTTTTCAGATTTCAAAATCTGAGAAAAGGGAAGGTCTCTTTTCCTTGGGATAGATTTCCCCTAAACGAGAAAAGGGGTGAGGGTTTTTATTGTAGTCTAGGACTTCATCAATATCATTCTCCCCCCTTTTCTTTGCTTTCCTCCACCTATCTTTTGCATCATCTAGTGGTGGCCGGCAGAGGGTAGCAACAAGCAGCAGGTGACAAGCTACCAGAGGTGGTGGTGGTGGCAGCCATCGGTGGGCGGCGGCTGCCGACTGTGGTGGTAGTGGTGGCAGCTGGCGGCAAGTGGCGGCGGCCTATAATGGTGGTGGTCAACGGCAGTGGGAGGAGACGACAGCCGGTGGTGGGAAGCGCGACTATCGGTAGTAGCTAGTGGCATCGCCAGACGCCGACGAGTGTGGGCAGTCAAGTGAGCTTGCTTGCGGAGTAAACGGTTCTCGCTCAAATTGGACGAGTTTAGTTTACCTCAAAAATGAACGAAAATGATTTACACTACATTTCTTTTTCACCCAGCCCCTAAAAAAAACTTTCCTGTGAAGTTACTAAACTCACTTTAAGAAAGTTGCATTTCAACTATAACAAAATTAGTCTTTTCCCAAAGCATTTCTCAAACATCCTAAAATTATTTCTATCATTCAAAGAAGCAAAAGTAAACAACAAAAGTAATAAATAGAACATGACCAAAAAAAAACAACAACAACAAATGTACCATATAAAACCTTATGAAAAGAGAGCGGCTAGCAAAAGAAAGAAGCGCCAAATTATTATAACCCACTACTGAAATATTCCTCTTTTTAGACTTGTTTTATCATATTGGTGAAGATGGTGACCTTATTCCCAGAAATGCCGGAATTGTAGGCCACCCAGAAAGACAAGCCACGGAATCCCAAGAGACAAGAAGAAAAGGGGAAGGGGAAGGGACAAGAAATACTCAACTTGTGTTGACCCCCCCCTTGTCTACATCAATTGTCGGAATCCTTTCTTTTGAGAATCAATTCATAATGATTTTAAACTAATTTTCTAAATGATTGAGCTTTAAAATTGTTAAAATCCAGACCATCCCTTTAGCCCTTGATCCCACGGCCAAGGATGGAGATACGTGGGAGGCTCACTTGGATTACTCCTATCTCCTTCCATATGCAGGTAGCTGATTTAGGAAGGATTGTATTAGCGGAATTATGAATAATTTTGTATTTAGTTGTTTCTTTATTAAGATATCCTGCATAGATCTATAATTAGGGATAAATTTGTGTAATAATAATTCAATCCTTTTTCCCTCTCCAATTATGTGAATTCTAACATGGTATCAAAGCCAACAGCCTTCATTGCCGATTGAAGAACAATCGTAGAATCATTGGATGAGGAAAAGAAAAAAGAAGAAGAAATCGGAGCTGCCAGACGCCACCGATGCTGCCTCCAACTCGGAAGAACGCAAGTGGGTGGAGTCGGCACTAGGTGGAGTCGAACATCTAGGCGAAATCGACACCATAAGGAGGTAACACCAGGCGGAACGAGAGCAGGGCTACGGAGCTCTATCCGACTCTCACACTACCTGTGAACGGTCGAACATCCACGAAGGAACCGATCCAAGTATTGTAACTTCCGATTCGACATAAGGGAGAAGTCGTCAAAGGAGCGTAGTCGAACAGCCACGAAGGAACCGAAGAAGCACCTCCTGCAATGCACCCGAAGCCGAACAGCAATGACGTCGAAGGAGCGAAGTCGGACAGCCACTAAGGAGCCGAAGAAGCGACGTGTGCCTACACCTCCTCCGAAGCCACGAAGCCATAGACGTAGGAGGACGAAGCTTGTGAAGAATTGAAGCACGTCTGACTCACGCGTGTAAAAGAAAGGCTTCATGCCCTAGCTTCTCTCGATCCGAGTCCTTTAAAGCTCGGTTCGGTTTACTAAACCGAGAGGTTATTTCAAAAAAAAAAGCCTTTATTGCCGTAACTAAAGATCAAAGAAATCTTATTTTTGGAGCCTTCATTGCTATCCAAGATCAAATAAATAGTCTTCATTTGACACAAAATGTCATCTTCCAGGTAGTACAGTCTGGAGAGGAAAAACATGCCTTCATAGCCGAAAATATGAGGAATATAAAGTTCCCATCACCGGCCTTCATTGTTGAAATTATGAGGAATATTGATCCTTCTACCGGCCTTTATTGCTGGAATTATGAGGAATGCAGGTTCCCACCTCCGGTCTTCATTGCCAGAATTTTGTCATATATTGTCGTGCCTTCATTGTTGACATTCCCTTAAGAATCGAGAAGGAGACAGACCTAAAGAATAATTAATTCACCTTCTCCATTGTCCCACCACTAGCCTTTATTGCCATTTCCAATATCTTGAGGGCTATTGTTCAACGCAGCCATCATTGCTGCCCTTACAGGCTTGATTGATATAGCCTTCATCGCTATCATTTGTCGTTGAAGCTAATTCTCCCACAGTTTTGACCAAATGGAACACTATAGTACACTAAGGGATTTGATAATTCTACTGGACTAATTACCAAGCTGGGAATGACTGATCTGTATTCCCCAGCTTGAGGGGGAGTGTTAAAATCCCGACCATCCCTTTGGCCCTTGATCCCACGGCCAAGGATGTAGATCCGTGGGAGGCTCACTTGGATTACTCCAATCTCCTTCAATATACGGGTAGCTGATTTATGAAGGATTATATTAGCGCAATTATGAATAATTTTGTATTTATTTGTTTCTTTATTAAGATATCCTGTATAGATCTATAAATACGGATAAATTTGTGTAATAATAATTCAATCCTTTTATCCCTCTCCAATTATGTGAATTCTAACAGAAATTAATAGAAGTTTTTTATTCCCTCCAAAGTTTCATTCACAAAGAACCTAAAGAAACAATTAAGGGAGACGATGCAATAAACTGCTATAAAAAAACCGCCACAAGTTTAAATGCGATGAAAACAGATGAAAATTAAATAAAAATAAGATGAGCAAAAGGATAACACATAATCATTATGGTGCTGGAGTTAGTTCGCTGTGAAAAAACCTGAGCTTGCTTAGCTAAAAATTCAGATAAAGAAAACCATTTCTTAAAATTTAATATTCAAACTAATATTACCATTAGGACTAACAATTTACTAATGGATTACATTTTACCAAGGAAAGAGAGAACGCAAGAACATAACAAAATAATTCGGAACATCAACATACCTTATGAAAGAGTAATAAGTACATAAAACGAATAAATGTCCTAGAATAAGATGTTGAAACATATAAAAGTCAAACCTAAGTAGTAACAAAAAAAGGAACTGAATGGACCATGCACCATCATCGTCATCACCCTCTCATCATACAGGACTTAAATACTAAGGATTAATTTTAAAATATGTTTACTTTATTGACCATGAGTTCTACAGAAATAAAGATGAGCTTTATCACCTTTATATCAGTCTCTGATAAAGCATCATGCACTCGACTGTCCAGAAGCCCATTCAAGTGCTGCAAACAGAGTAAAATGATGACAAGGGGAAGTGACACTAATAAAAATGGTAGCATATTCTCACAAGAAGTTAATAAAACAAACTTTCGCAAACTCTGAAAACGTGTCATTGGGTGTTATCCTCATCAATGTTGACAATGAGTGCAAGGCTGCAATTTGCTCTAGTGAATTAGAACTCATTAATCCCTTGGATCCCAATAAATCCTGTAAAACAAAAAAAAAAAACATTAAAACCAGATAGTCAACAAAAATCAAGTGATTATGCAATTCAAAAGTAATCTGAAATGCTATAAATGAAATATATTGTTAAAAAAAAACAAAAACAAAATCAGCAAGAAAAACAAATACTTGGTACAAAAAAAGCTATTTATTAACATACTAAAGTCATGAGTGTATTTAATTCCAAGATATGCTTATACATATCACCAAAAGAATCAGTATCTTTCTCCAACATATGAAGGATAGTATCATGGATCATTGATTATTGGAGCTCAATTCAATGGTATTTAATATTTTACATATGAGGAAAAACATGCCTTCAACAAAAATCAGTAATAGTCAAAAAAAAGAAATTGGGAAACTGTAAACAATGGGCGAGCGTTGCAAAACCACCTTTATTAGATAAAGCACCAAATTCTGATGTAGACACACAAGAAGAAATTCATGCAATGGATAGAACTTAAACAAACGTTATTAAAATAAAAGCAGACAACTAAGACTTGACAAACACAACAAGAAATATTAGGAGAAATAAAGAAAAATAAAAAGACGCTATCCTCAGACAACCGTCAAAGCGGGTTCCTCACATGCATCGAATTGTAGGTTAAATAAGAAAAGTGCATAAGACTAGCAAACCGATGGTCCACCACTGCAAGATTGTCCAAATGCTCCCAAATCAACCAAAACACGACACCCTAAAGTTGCTTCACTGTTGAGAAGAAGGATACAGATGGAGTGGCACTTGCGGAGAGACGAAGAGGTTAGAAGCCCGAGAAAAAGGGTGGAAAGAGCCCGCAGGATTTCCGGAGGGGATGAGAAAGAAGGGTGGAAAGAACCCGCAAGATTTCCAAACAAACCCGCAGGTTTAATAGCAAATATGCTCACAAATATCAACTGCCTTCATTCTCAACATCTTCTCTTATTTATAGGCATAGTAAAGGAATGCCAAAAGCCACCTTAGTTAATGTTCACAACATCCCAAGCATCATTTTTCATAGGATTTCCAAATGCCACTTCGGAAAACAGCCCAGCATAAATCCAGCCAAGGACCAATCATGCCAGCAAATCAAAGGTCTACAAAGTCTTGTGCACAACCTACCATGATCATTAGATGCTTTCCCATCATTGCATAGCTAAAAGAAAATAAAATAAAATAGAAAACAAAATATACTATTGTACAAATAAAATAAAAAGTACAGAAATTCTTGATAGCATCAAATTCAGACAAAAACTAAGGCCATTAACATGGAAGGCAGTGTTAGAACCAGCAGCCGGACCGATTCAATTTAAATGGTCCCCTAACTAAAGCATGAGCAAGCAAAAAAAAAAGAGCGAGCTGAAAGAGAGCTCGAGCGAGCAGCTAAGCGAACTGAGCAAAGCAACGTGTTTGGAAACAAAAACATGCGACTCCTCGCGAGTTATAACTCCATTTCACTCCGCCCAATTAAGCCAAATGAGAGAAATGCAAATCAGGAGCAGAGACCAAGAGGTAGAAAAGGAATTTGGGAGAAAATGATTTTTGCTCAGCAAGAGAAAGAAGAAGAGAAAGTAAGGTAAATTTTTTTTTTTTTGTTTATTTTTAGAAAGAAAGAAATTCATAAATTTTAATTTTATCAAAATTAATTTGTTCAATTATTAGTCAGGGAAGAAGAAATAATTATCAACAATTTCTGAGGTTTCAATTTGGCAATAAGGAAAAAAGGTTTGGAGGTAAAAGATGCAAGTTATATAGATATAATTTCAATACAACAACAACAACAACAACAACATCAAGCCTTTATCCCACTACGTGGGGTCGGCTACATGAATCCTTTTTCTCCATTGTGTCCTATTAAAAGCCAAATTCTCGTTTAAATCTAATAAAGAAAGGTCATTCCTAATATTTTCTAACCAAGTCTTTTTAGATCTACCCCTACCTTTCTTAACACAAGTCAAATCTAATACCTCTACTCTCCTAACCGGGTCGTCGGAAGGCCGCCTTTTTATGTGACCAAACCATCTAAGGCGACTCTCTCTAATCTTATCTTCTACTGGAGCTACTCCAACCTTTTCACGTATATGCTCATTTCGTATCCTATCTCTAAGGGTAAAGCCACTCATCCATCTAAGCATCCTCATCTCTGCCACACTTAACTTAGTATTATGCTTCTCTTTTAATGGCCAATCATTATATAAAATATGTCAGCCAATGCATCAAATACTATAATGCGAGTAAGAAGGTGGTTAAATAAATTGATGATGTTCAATACATCATCTTATGTTACCTTAGAAGTTGTTTGAGGAGTTCGACGTAGTTTTTAATGATGCTAAATTTCTCTATTGCCGAAATTAATATTTAATTACAATATTAATATTTTTTTGCAATGAAGAATTAAACTATATAGCCAAGACAAAAGTACAACTGTACTGTAAGTGATGCAATCAAAAATTTGGGAGAGGGGCCCAAATTTTTTATCACAAAAAGCAAATTCTTCCTATATAAAAGAAATACTAAAATTGCTAAGAAATCCACCAAATTTTAAAAAGACATAAAAATAAGAAACAAAGATACTTTTATAATATTAGAGAAAACTATTACATTTCATGACTCTTACAAACTTGTCTCTTAAAATTAAACGACTCAAGCAAGACACCCTAAAGTTGCTTCACTTAGAGAAGAAGGATACAGGTGGGGTGGTCACTTGCGGAGATACGAAAGAGATTAGAAGCCGAGACGAAGGTTTGAAAAAGCTCGCAAGATTTCCAGAGAAGGTGGAAGAACGTGGACAAAGCTCTCAAGCTTTTCCAAGAAGAACCCGCAGGTTATGGCTTCCAAAAATCACATCATATCACTCATAAAACAGCCACAAAACTTCCTCTATATATAGGCATAAAAGAGGAATACAAATAGTCATTATAATCACTAATTAATTTAATTAAAAGGGGGGGTAAATAAAAAGATAAAATTCAGTCCAGATTTCTGTACAGGAATCTGTCCAGAAGTCTGTCCCAAAACAGCCCCAAAAACCTGTTCAAAAACAGTCCAAAAAACTGTTCATATTCCCATATAAATGAGGTGATAAAAGCCATCAATATCCCTGCACAGGAATCCCAAACAGCAGGGCAGAAAGTCACGGTTTCCAGCATAGGAAAACCAACAGCAGCAAGCCATTTAAAAGCCACGGTAATAGCAACAGAGAATTCCAAACGGCAAAGCAAAGATCAAGGAAAAAAGCCACAGGTTTCCAGCACAACCGAGGCAGCAATTAAAGGGAATAAAGGCCACGGGTTCCACCACAGAGAAACCCCAAACGCCAACATTAAAGCACATTGAAGGCCACGGTTCCAGCAGCCAAATGAGGGAAAATAATGCAGCAGCTCAAGAGGCAAAGAAGAAGAGGAAGAGACAAGTTCCACTCACCTAAAAGCTTGCACCTCATAATGAATTTAGAGCTAAACATCAGCTCATAATGAGCTACACCTCCACATGATAATAATGAGCTTGCACAACTAAAATTTCAACAACTAAAGCTCAAAACCGAAATCAGCCAAGGCTCCCATAGAACTAGAAAACACCCCAAAG